ATAGAGGCAAGGAATACAGGATCAAAATACGGGGAAATACAGGCAAGAAATACAGGATCAAAATACGGGGAAATAGAGGCAAGGAATACAGGATCAAAATACGGGGAAATACAGGCAAGGAATACAGGATCAAAATACGGGGAAATAGAGGCAAGGAATACAGGATCAAAATACGGGGAAATACAGGCAAGGAATACAGGATCAAAATACGGGGAAATAGAGACATTGCAATAAATGGACAAATAGAGTCATTGTTCCTGAATACAGGATCAAAATTCTGCCAAGATCAACACCTTAGAAAGACGTACATCTCAATATTTTACACTGAAGGACAGCAAGAACTGATCTCTGTCAAAAGCAACACTTGCTCAAGGTGGAAGAAGATGGAAAACATTGTCCATAAAATTTTGGACGGTTCCAACAAACACCAAAGTTTTCACTAAAAAGACAGAAAGCAATCAAAAGCTTCCAAAGGAACATGCAATTTGAATTTGAAATTCAGACCAAGTAATGTAAAATGGACTTCACAACACTGTTGGGTCAGAACACAACACACTTGTTCTGTAACTAAACAATAGCTCTTCAGATATACATGATGTCGCCACATGGTGGAATCAGGCGCTCGCTCCTCTATTGTTGGGCATGTGCAGTTACTGCTATCTTCTCAGAGCTTGTTCATTTACCCATCTTTTCATGACAAAATACCCATTTCAGTTGAATACAAGTCGAGATAGAAGTGGAGATACAAGTGGAGATACAAGTCGAGATATTTGCCATTGAAGGAGTGGGGGTCGCCTGGTTTCAGCGGTAATGTTAGCGAGAAAATGGCCACCAAAGTCTGGAGACTTCCAAAGCTTGAGAGTGGTGGAAAACTGAATAGTTATTTTTTTTTAGCCTTTAATCATTTCTAAGAAAAATTAATACAGAAATATGTTTTTAGATGGAAATAAAAGGGGTTGAGCGAAAAAACAAAAATTCGATAAAAATTGCCAAAGTGGTGATAAATGCCTCTTTCTTGGATTTCCTTATTCTGACGAGCGCTTGATTTCACCACGCTGCCTCACATATTATGCTTGAAATTTGCTTTTCACACGCATTCAAAATTGACTCGTACCATTTTTTTAAAAATAGCCCGAGCTTCCAGGCAAGCACTCCCAAAGACAAAGCACCTGGCAATGATTCTACACCTCTTCAACGGAAGATTATTTCTGAAGTAGGATGTCCAGGAGACTGATTCCAGGGCAACATATCTCTCCACCAGAGACACATCAGACCTACCTGGCTGACCAGTGAACGTTCTAGATCAATCGGGGGAGACAACTGTGTTTGTGTGGTTTACCAAAGAGCTCATATGTGAGGCATCGTGGTGAAATCAGGCGCTCGTCAAACTAATGAAATTGAAGAAACTGGCACTTTTATTTTCTGCCAGTTTGGTAATTTGTATCGAATTTTTGCTTTTCCCTCAAACTCTTTTGTGTCCTACAAAAACATATTTCCAGGTGAATTTGACGGAAAAACCCTGATTAAAGGCACAAAAAATGTGGTGGAATCAGGTGTGTTAGTGCTGCGATGCGTCAGAGTGTCGGTGTGTCAGTGTCGGTGTGTTGGTGTGTCTGTGTGTCAGTGTGTTTGTGTGTGTGCGTGTGAGTCAGTGTGTTTGTGTGTCGGTGTGTTAGAGTGTTAATGTGTCGGTGTGTTCGTCTCGCGGTGTGTCGACTCACCTGTGTGGAGGCAGTGGCGATGGAGTCCCCCGCTGCGTTGATGGCCACACAGACGATGTCGTTGCCGTGGGCCTGGACCATGAGGGGAGGGGTGCTCTCCGGGGACGTGTCGCATCTATCCAGGTCCTGGGGACACACGGAGAGTACATGTCATGTCATGTCATGG